GAATGCCATCTACTCAGACCATGTTCATTTTCCTATTTGATTTTCAATGATATTAACTGACCTAAGCCTGATAGCAGGGAACTTGGAAATGCTAGTTAAACAATTGTAAAGAGGAATAGATGTTTAGATCCTCTTGATAATGGAGTTAATATAAATAAGCAAATAAGATTTAAAGCCAGAAATATTAAGTAAGCTGCATACTCTGTGTTGAGCTGGCTAATCTGTTGCAAGAGAGCATGTTGAAACTCCAGTGCTGTATAAAGCAGGAATAAAAGATGAAAGATAAAGAGTAGTGACCGTTAGCAGTCTCTAAATTATTTTGCCAAAATTCTTTGGCTTATGGCCCCACAATAAAGCAAGTACATAAGAACTCTCAGAAAAGCATTAATTTTATGAGAATGTATAAAGAACATACACTTGAATATGTGAGCCCTGGTTTAAACCCCCAGCACCAAAAAATAAAACAAAAGAATATACACTTACTATGTTATATTTATAGGAAGTATCTGCTATATCTTCTGAAACTGTAAGGCCTGCTTGAGTTATGAAATATATTATTTTATTAAGCTCCTAAAATCATTAAAATTGATCCATAATACAGAGGATTAACTGATTAAATGCATGCAAATAAAATTTACACTACTTTTGTAGTAAGAAATCTTTATTGTTAAAAGTTTGTCTTTGTTTCTTTAGTTAATCATAACAACAGTTTGTTAGTATCCTCCTTTAACTTTCCCTAAACTAAGTTTGAAGAGATTTTTTTTTTTTTAAAAAGTTAAAAGAGGTCTCAAATTATATTCTGGATCAGAAGGTCCTAAAAACTATGAAAAAGAATAAGGATATAGAAGAGAGCATTGTGTGATTCTGGCTTTATGGAAAAATGCCGAAGAATGAAACAAATGAGGGAGGCTTTATAGGGGCAACTCCAAAAATACTTTTATTGAGTGTTTAATATGTAATGTAGGTGGCCAGACATTTAATCAGCCCCATTTCAAATGATGGAACCTCTGCTTATGTACTAGTCATTTTAAAATCATTGCATTGAGAGATTGTGAAGACTTATTGCTTTCCTGGTTAGCACCCTTTTCAGATGGGCCCTGTTTCTGTGAGTGCTTGCTTTCCAGTGAAGAAGCCATGACAGAAATCCTATAGCCACTTTATTCATTTTGCCATGACCAAAATTTCTTAGTTAATTTTATGAAAAAAAATCAATCTTGTATCCCAAAGTGAGCATTTTGTAATAATGACATTCTTTCTCATTCATTCATTCATTCATTCAAGGGGACAGGCACTGTGTTGTTCTAAGTGCTGGGGAAATAGAGAGGAATAAAACACAGATGAGGAACTTGTCCCCAGGAAGGCTGTAGTACAGAGGGGAAAGAGACTTTCAACAAATAGGCAAAAGGTATAACTGTCATTTTTGTTAAGGGCTTTGAGTGTAAAGAACAGGAGAAAATGATATAAAGTAGCAGGGCAACCTGCTGTGCTGGGAGGTCTTGGAAAGCCTCTTTGATGAGCTGAAAACTGAAGGGATGTGGAGGACAGCCATTTAAGAGTCTCCGGAGAGTAGCAGGTAACCTGAGGTTCAACAGCTTGGTGAAACAGAGAGGAAGGTGTGGCTGGAACTAGTGGGTGGGGGTGGGCTCTGACTGCAGAAGAGGTCATAGCATTTCATAGTTAGTTTTATTCTTAGGCGGTGTAAGGCCATTGAAGGCTTCATGCAGGACAGTGATTTGATCCCACTTATAGTTTATAGTGATCATTTTGGTTACTTTATGGAGAGTGGATTGGAATGGGACAAGTAGGAAGCTTCATCACTGGTCCTTATGATATTTTATGGTAGCTTGGTTGAGATGACTTGTTCAGACAGTAGAGTGTGAGGTAATACCTGAGATACATTTATTTGAGGTTGAGTGACGAGAACTTCATAATGGATTGGATTCAGGAAGTGAGGGATGGCTTCCAGATTTCTGGCTTGAGTATACTATGATCCTGATAGTTTTCAGTATCTTAGTTGATGATCTGTTAAGTCCATGAGGAAAAATAATCTAACTATTTACTAATTGTTTTTTCTATAAATGATTTACTTTGAAAGAATATAAAAATATCAATGACAAACATTTTTTTATGCAAGAAGTAATCATTCCATGGTTCATTTGTGACATAAATATATGCAGTTTTTAGAACTAACCCTTACTTTGTCTTTAACTTAAAGATATCAGATAAAATAGCACTGGAGATTTTGCTTGCTTTTTGTGTTACAAAATTTCACCACTTGTATTTTTGTTTTCTTGAATTTGACTTTCATCCTTACAATAATGTCTTAACTGAAAATGGATTTTAAAAAATAAACTGTGGTTTTCAGTTTTAGAGATGCAATAATTTAACATTAAAAATAAAATGGCAGAAACAGAGTTAGGATTGGAATTGAACTAATTCCATTATATTTTTGAAGTTTACTTTCTAAATTGTGTCCAAAGTGGACGATGAGTGGTACTGCAGTTAGGCCATTCATCTTGAGGTTAAATTTAAGTAAGAATCTAGAGGAGAAATATTTTCACCTCTAATTTAAGTTCTTAACTTGGGAACACTTTAAAATATAGCTGTTATATACATGTCACATAATTTAATCCTAGTGTATCTTTTGAAAAAGGAATAATTTTTCTGTGGTCTTTGATTGTTTTAATTATTTCCCCACAGCATATTAAATTGAAGTTTTAGTTGTTAGATTTTAATATGTGATTTGAACTTCTGACATCTGGAAGTTTAAAGAATTCGATTGTCAAGATAAACTTCTAAAATACTGTAGTCCTTTATAAAATCTTTATACCACATAGTATAAGTGACTTCTTTATAATGCATACGAAAGCAAGTTTCTACCTGTTGGAGTTTTTAAATTCATTTAATTTTCCACTTGGGTTTTAGTTTCCAATCTATATGTCATAAGTCAATACAATGGAAATGTGCAATGTCAGGTATAAATAAAATAACAATAGCAAATAGTTATTGAGTTTTCTTTTGACTGGGCTCTGTAAAACTTGCTATACATTTTCTCTGAATCCTAGTGTTATGGTTTAGAGTGGTATCCCCCAAAAGCTCAAATGTGAGACAATGCAAGAAGGTTTGGAGAAATGATTAAGTCATACCCTTAACCTAATCAGTGAATTAATCACTGATTAACTGAGTGGTAACTGAATTGGTGGGGTGTGGCAGGAGGAGGTGGGAATTGGGGGTGTGGCTTTGGGGTCTATATTTTGATTCTGGAAAGTGGAGTCTGTCTCTGCTTTCTGACCACCATGTGAGCTGTGTCCCTCTGCAACACTGTTTTGCCATAATGTCCTGCCTCACCTCAAGCCAGGAAGAACGGAGCCAGCCTTCTGTGAACTAAGACTCTGAAACTGTGAGTCCTCAAATAAACTTTTTCTCCTTTAAAATTGCCCTGGGCAGTTCTTTTAGTCACAGCAGTGAAAAAGCTGACGAAATGCCTAGCAGTGGATCTAGAGCAGGTACTTGACAGAGGAAGAAATGACTTGCCAAAAGCAAAAAGCTAGCAAGTGCCACAACCGGAAGCCTGGCTCCTGAATCCTCCTCTTAACTAGTGTTCAGCCTCCTCATTAGTGAATTGTGACTGAGGCAGATCTGTGTTTGATTTCACTTCTAAAAGCTTTGCCGTCTCTCATCTGATTGCTGCAGTAGCGTGCCCCTTACCTCCTATAGCCTATTCCCCCAGAGAGATCTGTTATGGAATCAACCCGACCATATCACCATCTTGTATGAATTATTAACAGGGTGTGGTAAGTAGTTATAATGCTCTTACATCCCCAAGATAGGAGACCATACTCCCCAGAAACTATGAATATTACCTTATTTGGAAAAAGGGTCTTTTCAGGTATGGCTAAATTGAGGATTTTGGTGATCCTGAATTATTTGAGTAGGGTCCAAATGCCATCACATGTGCACTTAAAGGAGAAGGCAGAGGAAGATTTGACACAAACATGGAGAAGAAGTCAGTTGAAGACAGATTAGAGTGATGCAACTACAAGTCAAGGAATGCCAGCCACCACCAGAAACTGGAAAACTGGAAGAGCCAAGGAAGAAGATTTTACCTAGTCTCTGGAGGGCACCTTCCCAACTCTCTCTTTGATTTTGACAGAGTGATGCTGATTTAGGACTTCTCACATTCCTGAACTGGGAGAGATTCAATGTCCACTGTTTAAGCCATTTAGTTTAACCTAACTTGTTACAGCAGCCATAGGAAAATGAGTACAAGTAGCTTCTCATTTCAGATAGAGTAAAACTTCTTTCCATGTCTTTTCTGACTCAACACCTGCCAGTCTTTCCCCTTTGTTTCCCCTTTGCAGAATCTTTGTCAGTCTGGTTTATCACTATATCTCCAGAATCTGGATAATGCCTAGCAAATAGTAAGTACTCAAAAACAATTCTAAAAAAGTGATGATTGAACTTAACCTATTTTGTCCCATCCCAGATGTGGAACACCTATCAAAAGCTTAAATTGAGCAACAAATATACCACTTATGATAACTTTGAAATAATTACTGTTTTTAGAGGTCTGTTCTTTTGAGAAAAGTAATAGGTGAATGATTAGAGCATTAAAACGTAAATATTATGATTTCTAACCTATGTTAGAAACTAACCTGTGTTAGTTTCACTGAAACATTCACAGAATTGAAAACTTGGGACTTAATGGGTTAGTATTCTGAGATGAAAGTCTTTCCCCGAAAAACCAGCAATGCATTGGCCCAATTTGCTGATGGCATTCTTGAATGAGAAATAAAAATGGAGTATTAGTGGTATATGGGAAAGGGAGATGATAGTGTTATATAATAGACTAAGGAAAAAAGAGATATAATAAATCATTATGAAAGTTGATTCTTTAAAATTGGTGGATGTGATATGGCAATATTCTGAAAGATTAATTAGTTATACTTTTATTAATTTTACATGACTTTATTTTCATATGTAGAAATAGGAGAAAAATTTCACCAATTTCTTCCAATATTTTCTATCTACTGAATATAGGTAGATTTTAAAAAGTGATCTTACTTGGATTTTTTAATAGAAATATTTGGAATAAGAAGCTTTCCTTATTTTTAAAAAGTGTTGTTTCAAGCAGCAGAGCACAGTTACATGGACAAAAGATAATAATATGTTGAGCACTTCCTGTGGGTCAGGCACTGTGCTTAGGGCCTTAGAAACACCCTCTTCAGCATTATCATAACTGCACATGATGTATTTATACTCATTTACAGTTGAGAAAACATAGGCTTAAAAGTTTAGTGTTTGAGTATTAATATCTTGGGGTTGTTTCTAGGAAGCATGACATAATATAATTTGGTTTGACACTTCTTCCCCCAAAAGAAGTAGTCTGAACTAAGGAATGGACGAATACTGACAAATGATACAAGTCACATTCTTCTTTGGTTTGCAGCTCAAAACATATGCCTGTCTTTCTCACTGTAGATGATGTTTTCTTGAAATAAAGCAAAAGTTAAGTTCTCAGGAAAGCAAAAGGATTTTGTGAAAAAAACAAAATTATACATCATAAACAGAACATGTTGTTCCAAATCCCCTGCAGACCATCAAAAACCCACAGTGGAGTACTCTTTTGACAGGCCAAACGTTTAGAAGACAGTGAAATATTACTTCTGTAATGTAAGTTTGCGGGAAGGTGATCATTGGGGGAGGATTGACCCCCTGGGGCAGTTTTATGGTCAGAGAGGCATAAAATTATCTATTTTTTTCTTATAGTTTACTGAGTAAAAAGAGAAAAGTATTAATCAAAGAGATTGGCATGAACAGATGACACAAATTCCTCTTTCTTTATTTACAGCTCAAAAATAAAAGTACTTCACCACAGTGTATTTGGAGGATAATATTTGCATTGTATTTTTTTCTTTTTTTCTATTTGTATTGAAGGACAAAATTGATTGACATTACTAATTACAATGATAATTAAAGTTTGATGGAAATGTTTACTGAGTATATAGTTTTTTTGGACATATAGAGTTATGTAAGCTAACATTTCTGATACATCTAAAATTTACCTTTCAGAAATTCTAGTGGAGAACAGGGTTTTCACATGTGTTTCTTAGTCATTCAGTAATTTTTTTAACCTGTCTGCAATAAAAATGAACTAAAATTTTTGAAATTTTTCTAAATGTGTAGCTAAGCTTATAAGAAAATAAGGAAAAGTTCCAGGGCTCAAAAACAAAGCAGTCAGTTCCACTCCTACTTAGGGTATAGAAAGCAGCAAGAAGCCGTCATTCTTGTTCTGACACTAGTAGGTTATCCACAAAACCCACAGGATCATAACTTTTCTTGAGCTTTATCAGAGCTGGTCACAAGGAAACCAAGTGAACTTACCTCTAAAGATAAAGAAACCTTCTAAGGAAGAATGAGATGCAGCGGCACCAACCTTTGGCAGAATATAGGAGAAAAAGGTAGCCATTACATAGGGGATCACAAAAAATCATTTAAACTTTCTTTTTTTTTCAATTCTTTTTTTATTGGTTGTTCACAACATTACAAAGCTCTTGACATATCATATTTCATACATTAGATTGAAGTGGTTTATGAACTCCTAATTTTACCCCAAATGCAGATTGCAGAATCACGTCGGTTACACATCCACATTTTTACATAATGCCCTATTAGTAATTGTTGTATTCTGCTACCTT